AAAAAAAAAAAAAAAAAAAAAAAAAAACCTGATTAAAAAATGGGCAAAGGAGCTGAATAGACATTTTTCAAAGAAAGACATACAAATGGCCAACAGGTACATGAAAAAATGCATCATCAGGGAAATGCAAATTAAATCCACATTGGGATATCATCTCACCTCAATTAGAAAGGTTATAATCAGAAAAATTCATGGTATTTTTTAAGTCTGCAGTCCCAGTTTTTCAAGTTTTAGTAAACTTTGCTGCAATGATGGAAAAGCTATAGATCTGAACTATCCAATACTGTAGCCACTAGCCACATGTGGCTATTGCATATGTGAAATATGGCTAGTACAACTAACGTGAAGTTTTAATTAATTTAGTTAATTTAAATTTAAATAGGCACTCGTGTCTAGTGGCTACCATATAGGATGGTGTATCACTAAACTACCGACTCAAGAAATTTGGATTAACTCTTTCCTGTCTTCATTCATTCCCAGGCATCCAGACCTCTCTGTCTTTTGTGTCCACCTCTGGATTTTGTCTAGTAACTTTGCTTCTTTTTAAGACCCAAGATCCTATTCCTAATTTTTTAAAAAATAAATCATTTAATTAGGTATTCTCAACCTGGGTCCTGTGATAATTTCAACATGAGTTCACTTAATTTTTATGCAGACGTTTGCTTGTATGTGCACACGCATATGTGTGAACATTCTTATTTAGGAAACACTTTACGAGATTCTCAGAAGGGTCCTTAAACAAACAGGATTAAGAGACACTAGAGTGCTTCTCCTTCCTTTAATACTGAACCCTCTATGAGCCATGGCTAGACTGGCCTGAAAAGGTAATTCTCTCCATTGTACATTTGGATATATCTTCTTAAAGATAACAGTAAAAATTGAAATAGAAGAGAATTAATGTGCAGCATCAAGATTTTAATCTTGATCTTTGTTACCACAAGCAGTATGCATTAACATCTGGAATGGCCCATAGATCAACTAAGGTTTTACTTGGAGTTATAGTGGGATATGTGGTTGCTGCTAACTCAACATGGGGCTTATTAGAGTAGCCACATACTAGTATGAAATGAAGAGAATGAGGGGTCTCTATGGAGAAACAGGGACACTTAAGTCCACATGAATTTTCAACACAGGGGCATTGACTTCATTAATCTCAACAACGTTTGAATCTGTCTTTGGAGATTCTCCACGGGTGAGTCTTCTGACTGAACCAACTGTTAGTTGTAAAACTCTTTGCAAGTACTAGAAAACATTTTGTTCCCTAAGGAACAACAACAACAAAAATTATCTCAGAATTCCTTTTCAGATGAACGTTAGGACAGAGGAGTCTAATTAAAATAAATAATATACTGAAAAAAAAAAAAGACAGGTCATAAGTAAGTGAGACTGACTTGGAATATTTCTGAAAAGGAACTAAAGCAAATCTTCACAGCTCCTGAGCATTAATTTTCTAATGCTGCCAAAAGAAATTACCACAAACTTAGTGGCTTAAAATAACATTTATTTATTACCTAACAGTTACTGTAAGTCAGAGCCCAACATGTGTCTCACTGGGCTAAAACCAATATGTCAACACTTTTACATTTCTTTCTGGACACTAGGGAAAATTCAGTTCCTTTGACTTTCATCTTCTAGAGGCCGCCCATATTCCCTAACTCTTGGTTTCCTTCCTTCATCTTCAAAGACAGCAAGTCATGTCCAGATGTCCAGTTATTCTCATGTTGCCAGCTCTCTGTTTTTCTGCACCTGGGAAAGCTTCTTCACTTTTAAGTTTTCATGTGATTAGATTTGGCCTATCTGGGTAGTCCAGGATAAACCCCACATCTGAAGATGCTCAACTTTAATTATATCTGCAAATTCTCTTTTGGCATACAGGTAACATATTCATAGGTTTCAAGGATCTGCATGTGGATATCGTTGAGGTCCATTATTCTGCCTACCATAGTGGCTCTTTTTAAAGTTCCTTGGGAGCCAAGGTGACTTCTTCCTCCCTTACATTATGTAAACTCAGGTCCTGTTTGTACTTCTAGGTTCCTAGGAGTTTTAAGGTCAGAATTTTAAATTTCTTAAAGAGTATCTTTCCTTCTCCATCTCACACTTTGTATGTAGAAAAATTGAGTCCCAAAGAGGGAAAGATCATGTCTAAATCATGATTTAGGATCGCAACCAACATATACATACATATACACATGTATGCTTCTGCATATCTGTGTTTATGAATAGCCTTTATATTAAGTTTGTCCTTGCTAATATTTCCTCTATGGTTATTGTTGTCAGTGTTCATTATTAACATAAAAGCACAATGTCAAATTCTTCCTTAGTATTGCAGTCTGCACGACAGCTAACACCTTGATGTTTCCAAATGATTTATATCCCTATTGCGTGCAGCTGTTGATTTGACACTGATTCTGATTGAAGGATGTTTGATTTAATGCATCCTTCTCTTTTTGCCTAGTCAAACTTCTATTCTGCTATGTCACCACCCAACCAAACCTCTGATAACCACCAGACCTTTTTCACCCTGACTGGGATTCCAGGAATGCCAGAAAAAGACTTCTGGCTAGCCTTGTCCCTCTGTCTTCTTTACAGCACCACATTCCTGGGCAATGTCATCATCCTTGCCATCAAAGTTGAGCGAAGTCTCTATGAACCCATGTATTATTTTCTGGCCATGCTAGCTGCCACTGACCTCAGCTTTTCACTGTCTTCCATGCCCACCATGGTCAGTGTCCACTGGTTCAATGTGAGTTCAGTAACTTCTGATGCCTGTCTAACCCAGATGTTCTTCATCCACACGTTTGGGGGAGTGGAATCAGGTGTTCTGGTGGCCATGGCCTATGATCACTTCGTGGCCATCCGCTTTCCTTTGCAGTACGCTACCATTCTCACTCATAGCGTTATCAGCAAGATTGGAGCAGCTGTCCTGCTGCGGAGTGTGGGGGCTGTGCTCCCTGTGCCTTTCCTCATCAAAAGGCTGCCTTTCTGTCACTCCAGCATCCTCTCCCATGCATATTGCCTCCATCAGGATGCCATGAGGCTTGCCTATGCTGACACCCATGTCAACAGCATCTACGGCCTGCTGGCTGTGATCTTCATCATTGTACTGGGTGCCTTGATCCTTTTGGTCTCTTACATTCTAATCCTCCAGGCAATATTGGGCATTGCTTCTAAGGAAGAAAGGCTCAAGGCTCTGAACACTTGCCTCTTCCATATCTGTGCAGTGCTGCTTTTCTATGTGCCTCTCATCGGCATGACCCTGATTCATCACTATGGAAAGCATTTGTCACGAGTAATACACACATTCATGGCCGATATTTACCTGCTGCTACCTCCTGTGCTCAAACCCATTGTGTGCAGTGTTAGGACCAAGCAGTTTGACAGCGGATTGTCGAGTTGTTCTGTCAGGGCAGGACTGGCTCTTAATGGCACCTACTACTTCTGTGCATATGCAATCGAATCAGAGAAGGGTACCAAATGCAGCACTGTTCAACACAAATTCCTGAAGAAATGGAAATGTTCTATATCTCTGCTGTTTAATACTGTAGTTACTGGTCACACATGACTATTAGGCACTTGAAACTTTGCTACTGTAAGTAAAGAACTGAATTTTAAATTTATTTAATTTTAGTTAATTTAAATGTAAATTTAAATTTTTATATGTGGCTAGTAGCTACTGTTTTGAACAGTACAGATATGATGGGTTGTGACATGACATTGCATTATGGTTTTGATGAAAGCAATAATTTATATTAGCTTGATAACGATATGAACTTTCATATCTTAAAATAGCATATAACAAATTGTTAAACAGTTATGTACAATAAAACTCACTCATTTTGGTGTATAGTTTCATAAATTTTGATAAATGCAAAGAGTCATGTAACTCCCACTTAAACAAAGATAGAGAACAGTTTTATCACTCCCCTAAATTTTTTCCTACTGCCCATTTGTACCCCTTTATCCATATAAAACACCTGGCAAGGACTGATTTGTTTTCCACCCTTATAATTCTTTTTTTCTTAGAATAAAAAGAATGGAACCTTGCACACAAATGGAACCTTGCAGTATACAATCTTCTGTGTCTGGCTTCTTAACATAATGAAATGCATTTGAGATTTACCCATATTATTGTGTGTATTAGTAGTTTATTCCTTTCTTATAGCTCAGCAGTTTCTGTTGTATGCTATTATTTAATAACTATATAGAGAAAAATTCCAGGACTGTTCTTGCTCCATTTTAATCACACTGATATTCAGTGCTGAACACTGGACAGTTATTTTCTTTTTCTTTTATTTATGTATGTATTCATTTACAGATTTTATAAAAGATAAGGTGTGTATGTATAATGGGTTGAAAGGAGAAGAAAAAATATTAAAAAGAAAAAAGCATGTGCAAAGTATGAGAGCATCATTCAGTGAGTTAGAAACATAAAGAATTCCATATATGCTTTAGATCTCAAACTCAACCTCACTTCTGTCCAGAGGGCTTTCTGACGTTCCTTTTATTATGTTAGTTTCTCACATTGTACTATGATTACCTAACAACGTATCTTCCCTGCTATTCTATATACTTCATGTTCCACTTTATCATATACTGAATGCTCAATGTAGCACAGAACATATGGAGGAAACTTAATATATATACCTTTGATTAGTAAAAACTGTACTTTACTGAGATTGATTTTATGTTTCTTATCCATTCTGTTCTCATTTAATCTTTGTAAGTCTCATTTAAAATTTTCAGAGTCCCTCATCTTTGCTGATGGAAACCAGGGGAAAGAGGTGGTGTTTACATAGAATCAGAGCATTACTTGATGTGTGACTTTATGGAGTTACTTAATCTCTCTAGATACTCATTGGAATGAGCACATTTGCTCACCATGCAGATATAGTGAGAATATAGATGGGAAAATGTATCGAGAGGATAAGAAGCCAGGGAAGATTAGATATGATCAGGATTATTAATTCACTGTCTTCTGTGGAAAGTTGGATTATGGTCAAAATGAGGCTTAAGCCAGATGTGGGCATGCAGTTGAAAAACAAGCAATTTATAAAATGAATAGATTGAGGACTATATTTAAACTATATTTCTTGAAGATACGAATGGAAACAGTTGACTACAGAAAGTAGTGTACAGCATACCGGTTAAAATCAAGAGCTTTAGAGTAAGATAGACAGGGGCTTGAATACTAGCTCTTTAACTTGCTGACTTTTAGATGAGTGAAGTTATTCAAAACCTCTCTGACCTTTAATTTTCTCAGCTGTGAAACAATGGAGATTAATACTTAACTTGTAAGGTTGATCATAAATAAATATAACAATGTATTTAAAGCATATAGTGTTATTTCTGGCATATATTATATATTCTTCAAATATTAGATTACTTGTGCTTAGAGGACAAGTGGGCTGCAGATGTGACTCAAATAGGAAGTCTTCTTGAGGGGGTTCCAGTGTAGGGAGGGACATAGGAATAGCTGGGGGGATAATGAGACCTATTAGGAAGACTACGCATTGGAAGCAGAGAACAGAGAGATGACTTTTTGCCCTCTTCTAATCCAGCTCTGACATTCAGGGAGCCTTCTGGGCTGACAATCTGTAGCCTGAGGCTCGGTGAAGAGGAATGGTTGTAGTTATCCAACCCAGGAAGGCAATTTTTATAGATGCCCATTACTGTCAGCCCCCAGGGCCAGGGCTGTGCTTACAACCCCTGATGGATGGGGGTTGCTTGGGTCTGGGAGCAACGTTTCAAGCTGTGTCTAGTAGATGTGTCTGAGCTGCTATAGAGGAACATATTCACACTGGTTCCATCACTCTTGCTCCAACCAGCACGCCTACTAATCAAGATAGCTCCCTGTTGCCTGGTGACTCTAGTAGGCTGCCTATAAAGCCCCCACTTTTGGAAACTGGTTTACTCTCTGCTCTGTGATGGTGCTGAAGAGAGTTTGGTGGTGTCGCCTGCTGATGTGACCAGGTAAGCAGAGTGCATAAGTGGGAAGAGACAAAAGCGGAAGGGATTAAAGAATGAGAAATGGTAATAGAAGGAGGGGAGGAAAATTAAGCAGTGACTTGATGGGAACTACAGGTAAGTTTGGATGATGAAATGGAAGGGCAAAATGGATCCGAGGAGAAATTGAGATAGGGATATAGAGGACAGGAGGGAAAAGAAGGCACAAATAGAAAAGGAGACAGGATTCAGAACTCTCTTACTGTGGTGATGATTGCTCATCAATCAATCAACATTATTAAATGAAGGTTTTTATTGTTTCAGATCCTGCTTTAGTAGATAGCATTGAGAGGTTAAAAAATACACATGCTCAAAATTTTAAGGAATTTAAAGTACAGACAGAAAAAGATGACACTTGCAGATACAAATTGCCAATATCGGTTGTGCGTCATTATTAAGAAACAAATGAAAGGTCCAAGCTTAAGTGGTACAAAGATGTAGAAACAGAGGGGAAATTTCAGTTTAACATGCTCTGGAGTTGTCAGGTTTGGTTCTAGATTGTGGAGGAAATATAATTCAGTGTTGAGAAATGAACAGAAGTTAGGGGTTGGTAAATAAAGAAGGTGGGTCTATATCATTACTGATGCCAGAAAGCAAGGAAATTGATATTTGAATCACTAAGTTATTGAGTGGTGTGGGTCTTATCCAAGTCATTTCATCTAGCCTTCTGTATATAAATGGCATATGTTGCCTTCTGCCTGACCAGTCATATGGAGACTTGTACCTGAAGAAAGTGTTAGCCCATGGGCAATGAGCTCCTACTCCTCTCCCATTATCCCGTGTCATTTTTTTCATTTTTTTTTTTTTTTTTTTTTTTTTTGCCTTCTGCCTGACCAGTCATATGGAGACTTGTACCTGAAGAAAGTGTTAGCCCATGGGCAATGAGCTCCTACTCCTCTCCCATTATCCCGTGTCATTTTTTTCATTTTTTTTTTTTTTTTTTTTTACTTTTATGAGATACCATTCAAAGAACAGAATAACTGGTAATCTGCTTTATGGGCATCTTATATCTTGATTGCTTTTCTACCCCAAAACTCCCCTCTGCATACATAAGCACATGTAAGACCCACAGAACAAACAATGCAGACATTCACACATACTTTTGAGCACACTTGGACTCCACAAATATTCTTTAGTGTCCAAGAGGACACTGTTTTCCCTTTTATTTACTTCTCATCTTTATCCCTCCTCTGTATCATATAGATATATAATATAAAATTTTGTTGTATTTTAAAAGAAGGAACTCACACACCCAGCTATCCAAATTGTCTCATTAGCCTTGCCTCTCTGATGGTCTGAAGTTTATTAAAAAATCATAGGCTTTGGAGTTAGTAAATCTGTTTTTAAATTTTGAATCAGTATCCAGCTATTTTACCTTGGATGCATCATTTAACCTTTCTGGCCCATTTTTTTCTTTAAAACACGAGTAAAATAAAAAAAAAATATATATATATATACTAAATTTTCATGGGATTATATAAATTTTATATAAGGTGGCTAGCAAAATGTATGATTTATTCAAATAATTCTAATTCTTTTTCTTTTCTTTTAGTCTACCCTCCTTCTTCCAATCAATGAGAGGATGATCACTTTCTTTATGGTACCTAGGGAAGTAATTTCTCCATGGCCCATGCATCCCTCAAAACTACCAGGTTCAATCTATATTTCTTTCATGTACATATATTCTTCATCTGTATATCTGTCTTTTATCACATATACACCTATGAATACATGTAATGTCAATTAGATTACTTGAGTTTTGTGCCAATCACAGTGCTTGTCTCTGGAGAAAATATAAAGATGTTCCCAGAGAGCCAACACTGTAGTGGGAGAAAGAAATGCAGAGAAAGAAGTTTACTCTTAAGTTCTGTACTTATCAGGCTGAGAAGAAGAGAATGAAACAGAAATCTCAACAACTTTCTGTTTTCCTGCCTGGCTATTTGATCTTCCCTCGTTTCCCTCTGTAGTAACAGCAGCCCATTAATGTTTGCCCTGGCTTCTCACCTCATTCATTTCCACTAGGCTGAGGGAATTTTGAATGCAGAAACTGTTCTTTACATATTTCTGTCTTCCTTGCCCTCAGCACAGTAACCGGCCTTTACATTGTTATTCAAAGTCCGAGTGTTCATAATCCATATGTCATCTGGCACCAGTTTTCCTAATTCTTAGTGTTCTTTTCCAACCATATCCTGGACATGTATAATATAATAATTCCAAAGATTATAGCAGAAAAAGCAAGTGGTATTTTTTCCCCTCATTGCAGTAACAAGTAATTATTTCTATCACCATCTTCAGTAGACTGGAGGAGAGGGAGAAAATAATTCACATTTCCTCATATTTATCCTTATATAATGATGGACAAGCTCTTGCACTCGACAATTCCTTGTATCTACTCTGTCACCAGGGCAGAAAGCCTGGACTACTGAAAGATGAGAATGCTTAGGCCTGTCATTACCCCCACAACGACTTGTCTAGGTACCTTACTCCTTGTTAACTCTTTGTTGATGATACTTGGCCTAAGTAGAAATGTAAAAATCTGCAGTGATGATTTTTTTTTTTTGACCAACAGTCAGTAAAAAATCCTGAATAAAATTGCAATGGTCATCTTAAATATATGTCCCAGCTTCTGCCTACCTTATGACACTATTTCTGTTTTCTTTTAGCTGTCATTCCATGGACTTTTTCACACATTGAACTACCTGGTATTCCAATTTGTGATGTCACCTCAGCCTGCGTATCCCCAAGTTACTCCCTTTTTATTAGTCCCCATTTCCATCTCACTTATGATTTTTCCAAAGTCATTCATCACATGTTCCTGAGTGTATCCCATGTCTTTCACCATGCCCATAAGTTATCTAAAGTCCATTCCAACATGGACATAGCCAGTCCTTAAGAGAGAGAATTCCACTAACTTACTTATATTCTGTATATTGGCACAACTGGTTTACACAGCAAGAGAAGAAAAACAAGGAAGGAGGAATGAAGAATTTGGGTCTTGGATCCTCCCAATGACATAAAATGGTACAAGCGTCTGTGGCCCCATCACAGTGTAGCTAATGATGTAAGATAAAGTCTCCACAGTGACTCACTGAATTCTCACCATGACTTTAACAAAATATCAGAAGCTGATATGGCAGGGTGTTTTTTCTAGGTGTATTCACTGAGCCTAGATCAGAATTCTTGAAGTCATGTATTCCAGAAAAATGTTAGGAGATCTTGACAAGATCTATTAAGACAGTCTATTCACAGTGAGTGGGTTCAAAGTCACATGGAAGATATTCATGGGGAGTAGAAACAAGTACCCCAAAGTGTAAGATGGAGGAAAAAAATAGGAACCTGCTATTTTGGTAGAGTTGGAAAATTATACAGAGAGACAGACAGAAACAGAAATAAAGGACAAGATGAACACAAGTCCGACTGAGTATGTAGAATGTGGAAGGGAGAAATTACATAAATTATTCCCACATAGAGAATGGAAGAAATAATCTCTGAGGCTAAAAGGAGACTTCTAATAGGAGAATATGAGGAGAGTGTGGCCTATGACTCAGCTACAGGATACCTCTGGATTCAATATCCCAGATCATCTTCTAGCAAGAACCTCATAGAATATGCCACTGCAGGTGCCCAGAGTGATTTCTATGTGCCTCCCCATTATTTCTAGAGCAACTAACATAGCTTGGAGACTTAATACAAAGACCAGTCGGGTTGTAAGTGTCAATGTGGTTGTTTTGTTAGTATGTGTGCACGTGTGTGACTTAAGTCTATAAGCACTTCCTACTATAAGCACTTCCTACTTCAAGCCAGGGCTAGTCTGAGCAATAAGTTGGAAATGAGCCTAGGGAGATTGATGGTTATAATCGGGAGAGGGTAGAGGCAGAAAAATGGGGCCAGATTCTAACAGGAAAATCTAAGATACTGTAGAATTATGTGATAGGCACAGTAGTTAAATGAAAGATTTTGAATAAAGAGAAACAATTGTGTAATTTGGGAAGGGTTTATGAAAGATTTAGGACCTAAAGAAAAAAGATCACTGTGACAGATATTGCCATTTCTTTTCAGGTGTGTCCTCAACCCAACATGTTAGTTTTCAATAACACCACATCCTCCGTCTCACACTTCCTGCTTACTGCATTCCCTGGGCTGGAACTTGCTCATGTCTGGATCTCCATTCCTGTCTGCTGTCTTTACGTCATTGCCGTCTTGGGAAACAGCATGATCTTGTTTGTCATCATTATTGAACAGAGTCTCCACAAGCCCATGTACTATTTCCTCTGCATGCTCTCAGCTGTTGACCTATGTTTGGCCATCACAACCCTTCCCACTGTGCTTGGGGTTCTCTGGTTTCATGTCCGGGAGATCAGCTTCAAAGCGTGCCTCATCCAAATGTTCTTTGTGCATACCTTCTCCTTCCTGGAGTCCTCGGTGCTGGTAGCCATGGCTTTTGACCGCTTCATGGCCATCTGTAACCCACTGAGGTATGCGACTGTCCTCTCAGACATGATGGTCTTGGTGATTGGACTGTCCATCTGCATACGACAAATAATTTTCGCATTTCCCACTAATCTAGCCCTACAGAATTTTTCTTTCCGGGGAGGTCAAGAGCTTTCCCACCCATTTTGCTACCACCCAGATGTGATCAAAAATACATATTCCAACCCCTGGATCACCAGTTTTTGGGGCATGTTTATTCAGCTCTATCTGAATGGTACTGACTTATTGTTCATTCTTTTCTCCTATGTCCTGATCCTCCGGACTGTTCTGAGCATTGTGGCCCCAAAGAAGCAACAAAAAGCACTCAGCACCTGTGTCTGTCACATCTGTGCTGTCACTCTCTTCTATGTGCCAATGATCAGCCTGTCTTTGGCACACCGCCTCTTCAGTTCCACCCCAAGGGTGGTCTGCAGCATTTTGGCCAATTTTTATCTGCTTTTACCACCTGTACTGAACCCCATCATTTACAGCTTGAAGACCAAGACTGTCCGCCGGGCTATGTTCCAGCTGTTCCAATCCAAGGGTTCACGGGGCCCCAATATGAAGGGTCTTAGAGGAAGGTGAAATTTAAGGAGGAAAATTGTCAGTATATAAATTATATTAAGTAGGAAAGGGATTTGGTACGGTGTCCTCTGCAAGCATTTTAGTTACTGAGGCAATTCCAATTGAATTATAGGAGTCGAAAGAAGAGAGTAATTTTTTCAGTGAGCTTGTCAAAGAATTTCTTGTTTTAAATACTACAGTTCAAAACCAAATTAATTGTGTATATTTCCTTAAAATGACATGGACTCCTGTGCAAATTAAAGACTCCTTTGCAAATATGATTGCTTCAATCCAGTGGAACAATTTAACTACTTGCTTTAAAACAGTTATTCTTAGTCCAGAAATAAGTGACAATAATTTTATTTTTGCATTAAGTAGAACAAAATCATTTTTTTCTAAGCTCAGATTTTCCAAGGGGCAATGAAGATTATTTCTTGAGCTGGTAAAGGGAAAAGTTGTTTGTGTCCACAAAGGCACACACATAGAATTTTGTAGTTAAAAACTCTAGAAAAATCTTGCACACTGGTTTCAATTCCTAGAGTCACTTCTAGAGAGCGCTGTCTCCTTACAGATATGCTCCCTGTATCTCTATCTTTTCTTTAATCTCTTCTTAGGAAAAGTGATACTTTAACAATTCTAATTGCTATTTTTTTATATCTCCAATCAATCCCCAATACGTAAACTTACACACCACCTTTTATTATTTTGTCCATTGTCTAGATGTACTAACAGTTCTGATTCTGATTCCATGGCCCCTCTTCAGGACCAACTCTGCCTCAGGACTGCAGATTTTTTCTATTTTCCCTTGTTTCTTGGGTCATTAATTTTCTACCCAGGTGTTAGCCACCTCCACCTTCTGGTGTACTTATCACTATAGAATTGTATAGAAACTCTGAGGCTTTTTAATAGGAAATTTCCCTTATTAATGTTTCAGCTACCTTTATTATAAATATTTGTCTTGTAAAGAAGTAACTTCAGGTACTCTCTGCTGGAGAGAGTTCTCCATTTTTTTCTTCTACACACAGAGTTCTGGCAACTAAGTTCCACCCAGGATGATTCACGTCTGAGCACAGTGGTCCACGCAGATATTCTGATTTGAACCAGCTGTCTCCTTCCCCTATGTCAGACAGGGAATGCCAGTCTCAATCTCTGGTTTGTTTGCCTCAGTTTCCTGTCAAGCTTCATTGTTCAGCTCAAGCACTTAAACACTGTGACTCTGCTTTGCTTAAAACCCAATCAACTTTCCTCTCATCATTATCAAGATGACTCACGTATTATTTATAATTTGAATCATTGGTATTATTTCCCATTTATATAGCATATTCAGGTGATATAGATATCTCCCTGGTGGTATTTAAACATAATACAAGAGTATGTGGCAGAAACTAGTATTATAAGGGAAGAAAAACCAGTGCACAACCATCCTAGAAAGTAGGACAATTGGAAATATAATTTGGTTCTCTGTCTCCAAGCCCACCATTTCAGCTAAAACATTTCTTGGCCTTGTGCACTTTGTGTGAAGTCTTTGTATTCCCTTATACCACAATTCAGTAATTTAACTTTCAATTTTCCATTCTCATAGTGTTGTCAGATAAATGTCTCTTTGGTTCTATACCTGTTGAAAAGACAAAAACAAACAAACAAACAAACAAACAAAAAAACCAAAAAACTATTATGCAAAAGTGCAAGAGTCCCATGATATATCTAATTGCTAGACATATGTTCCAGAGCAAGGATTAAAGACAGAAGACAACTTTTTAGATAGACACCCTGATAGTAATGGCAGAATAAAGCCACAATCTTAAGGATTATTTGTAAGAAAGTTTGTGAATTTAGACAAGAATTCCAGGAATGGAGGTGGGGCAGATAAAACTGTCCCAGAGTTGGGAATTTTAGAAGTGCTAGGTGAGATTATTTACTTGGTACCATAGGAGGACTTAAGGGAAGATATAAAATGCCAACCAATATTTTTCTATATTCATGTTTTTGAGCCCAGACATTGGTGTGGCTGGAGAGGAAGAGGTCTTGTACAGCAGCTGATAAGGAACAGTGAAGGTGAAGACTGTGAGCTGAGAAAGAAGAGAGTATTTTCCTTACAAAGTATCTCACTATGGCAGAGACTCTGACCCTGAAATTAACCGGGAGCAAAGCAGAATTTCAGATTGCGCCCTAGTCTAACCACCAGAACTTTTTTTTTTTTTCCTTTTTACTGACTGGCAACGGGATCGCAACCCTCGGTGTTGCGCCCGCACCACGCTCAGCCAGTGAGCGGGAACCAGTCTCCACATAGGTGGGAGCGCCGCAGCGCTTCCAAGTAGGGCATTCTCCAGTGCGCCGCCGGGCCGGCCCTAACCACCAGAACTTTTACACATCAGTTCTTTCAGATGTCTATGGCTCTTTAATTGCTTCTTTTGAAGACTTTTATAAAGGTTTTTGCTGGTAGATCTACAATTCCCTATTCACATTTCAGAAATTTAAAAACATCTGGGAAAACAGCCTTAAAATTCTTTTTTTCTTAAGTCTGCTGTCAAAATTCATTGGCTGAAAAACTTAACACGAACTGATATGAATATATTTATGGTCATTACTTATTTCACATAAAGTGAAGAATATGTACTCATTTTTGCTTCAGAACTATTGCTATCTTTGAATACAGGGCTATGCCTCAAAGGTCGTATGGCCCTTTTAAAGTATGAAAAATTATGAATTCCAAGAGATTTAGATGAACAATTGTGAAAATGTGCAATAATTCTTCCAGTTTTAAGACAGTCAGTACCTAAGGCATTCTGCCATATGTGTGTTAATCTTTTACTACTTTAAGTGAACTTTTCATATCTGACTCAAAACACAATCTGCTTACTCAACACCAAAAACATTTTAATCAATGTATTTCATTCCCATATTAATTGTTATTAAGATATGAATTTGTGTTTTGTTGTTATTTCAAGCAATGTATTAATATATTTGGAATTTTTTCTCATTATGAATGTCATATATATTATATATAATTTAAAATGTATAAATATACTGAGAAATACATAAAATTATTAAGGATGTAATAAACATTATTTATAATCCTGCTGAAAGATTATATAATATATGTTTAATCTTAATATATGTTCAAATAGTGTATAGCCAAATATATATCTTGTTTGTTTGATATTATTCATTATTTCTATCAAGTGATAATATTTTATATTATCTCTTTTTTTATATTAGACTTCCTTTGATTCTTCACTAAAATAGACACATTGACTTTTTTTATTTATGCTTTCTTATATATGTGATTAAACTTACCATACTTTACTCAGATAATTTTATTATTGATTTACTTGGTCTCCTCACCACCAGACTGTAAGCTACTTGGTAGTAGGCCTCAGTAAGGGACATGAAGAATAATTTATGATTTGTAATCATGAGCATGCTAATAACATTGATTCGATTATCACATATTGCACACACATACTGATAGTCAACTCTGTACTCCATGAATATGTATAATCAATTATGTTTCAATTTAAAAATAAATTTTAAGAAGTCAAAGAAAAAACTTAAAATAAATTCCCTAACATGTAATATAGGGCTTAGCAAATACTACCTAGTTGTTGATGCTGTATTGCATGAGTGAATGATATGTAATCATATTTGTATATTATGTTTTATGTTACTATTTCCTATAATTTAATATTTTAGTAACTTTTGGCATGTATTCTTTTAAATATATACTTGATCATACCTCTGATTATTTCCTCAGAGTTTTAGAAATGTGAATTACTTTTTTCAACATAAGTTGGAAAATGTTGAAAAAAGTAATCGAAATGTTGGACAGTAACACAAATATGTAACACAGCACAAATACCAAATGGTATTTTATAGACACTGTACAAGTACTGGACATATGCCAATAGATTTGATTTATGAAACTCTTTTGAGGAAACAAAATGCAAATAAGAGAGACAGACATGTGAACTAATGATGATAACATAACTGAAGAATGGGGCCACAGAGAAAGAATTAAGTAATACAATCTGTGTGGAGTCAAGCAAGTCTTTTCCTCTCTTCCCTGATTAGGCTGTAGGCGTCTAGTCAGGGTCAGCTATTGAGCAGTGAGAATTCACCTAAACTCACTGGGGACATAAAATAAGAGGATATAAAATATATAAGAATATTTACCTATTTAAAATATATGAGTATTTGAGCCTTCCTCAAAATGGTTCTTTGAAACAAATAATGTCATTTGTAAGCAAGTTGGCTAGTAAAATATTAAAATTTATTAAAAATAGTGTTCTTCCAATTCATAGTGCAGTCATCCCCCCTTATCGGGGATATGTTCCAAGCCCCCCAGTGTATGCCTGAAATTGTGGATAATACCAACCCTATATGTGTACTATGTTTTTTTTCCCCATACATACATGACTATGATAAAGTTTAATTTATGGATTAGACACAGTAAAAGATTAACAACAAAAATTTATAATAAAATATAATAATTAAGTAAAATAAGGGTTACTTGAACATAAGCACTGTGATACTGCAGCGATCGATCTGATAATCAAGATAATCAAGATGGCTACTATGTGATGAATGAGCGGGTGGTGTCTCCAGTGTGGATAAAAACGTGTGGCACAAAAGGATGATTCACATCCCAGGCAAGATGGACCAGGTTAGTGCATGATTTCGTCACACTATGCAAAATGGTGCACTATTTAAAACTTATGAATTGCTTATTTCTAGAATATTCCATTTAATATTTTTCCACTATGGTTGACTGTGGGAGCTGAAACCGTGGAAAGCAAAACTGTGGATAAGGGGAAAGTGTTGTACAAAATTGCTAAGGATTGACTTATTCTCAATTTTATGTTTTACACCTTTGTCTACTACTAAGTACTCACATATAAAAGATGAACAAGAAACAAATTAATTTTACAGAAAATAATTTGAAGTACCCAATCATCTTTATTTGGCTATTTATCGTTTTAAAATATGGAACTATATATCCATGCATATGATTTTTTATTGCA